AGATAAATGCGAGATATTGCATTTTGGTAAAACAAAGGCAAGACTTATACAATTAAAAGTAGGGCCTTGGGCAGTGTTGAAGAACAACAAGATCATGGGGTTCAGATATGTAATTCTATGAGGTTTGCATCACATATAGATAGGGTGGTTAAGAAGGCGTTTAGCATGCTTGCCTTCATTGCTCAGACATTTGAGTATAGAAGTTGGGATATAATGTTGAGGTTGACAGGACGTCAATAAGGCCTCTACTGAAGAACCATGTCCAGCTCTGGTCGCCCTAGTATAGAGGAAGGATATTATTAAGTTGGAGAGGGTTCAGAAGAGATTTACCAGAATGTTGCCAGGCATGGAGGGTTTGAGTTGTAAGAAGAGACTGGATAGGCTGGGACCTATTCTCTGGAGTGTAAGAGGTTGAGAGGTCACCTTATATATGTTTATAAAATCATGAGGGGTATAGATAAGGTGAATGGCAGATGTCTTTTCCCTGTTGTGGAAGATTTCAAGATTAGGGGACATATTTTTAAGGTGAGAAGAAAGATTTTAAAAAAGATAGGGAGCAATTTTTTTACACACAGTGGTTTGTATGTGGAATGAACATCCAGAGGAAGTGGTGAATGCAGGTATTGTTACAACATCTAAAAGACATTGAGATAAGTACATGAATAAAAAATGTTTGGAGGGATATGGGCCAAGAGTAGGTAGGTGCAACCAGTTTAGTTTGGGATTATGGTTGGCATGTTCTGGTTGGACCAAAGGGTCTGTTTCCGTGCTGTATGACCATGACTATAGATGTACACTGGCAAGGCATTCAAGACTATGGACGAAGTGCTGGAAAATGGGACCAGAATAGTTGTGGTTGTTTTTGACTGGTGCAGATAAGATGGGCCAAAGGGCCACTTTTTGTGCTCTGGATCTCTGACTCTGACCTTGACCCTGAATTGATTAGATTTTCACTCTGCTGTGTTAATGAAAATCGTCAGCTTAACGTTAAAAAAATTGTTTTAATACATTTACATGATTCCTCCATACTAAGTTGTGACACTTCATGAATTTTGAGCAAAAAATGTTCTTTTGTTACATTTTTCAAGAACTTATGCTATAAATTGTATAAATTCTAAGCAAACAAACACAATCATCATTTCTATGATGATTCTTTGATGATGAAAATAATTGATATTAAAAGAAGTATATGAGGAAATTGTAGGTGCCATCATTATGACCTTCAAAAACTTGCTTGATTCAGGGATTGACAATTTGGATTAGGTCAGTGTCAATCCAGTATTCAAGAAGAATTGGAGTGACAAAATAGGAATTTGTGGTCTAACTGGCCTAATAGCTGTGGTGGGAAATTTACTAGAACCTGGTGTTCAGGACAGAATGACTGAACTGTTGACCAAATATGAACTAATCAGAAAGAGTCAGCATGGATTTACAAGAGCAAAGGTTGTTTAGAGCAAGCATGATTGACTATTTTGAGACATAAATGCTGTAGCAAGGTAAGTAAGGCAATATATCTAAAGTTATTGAATATATGGAATTCCAGAAAGCAATTGAAAACATTCAATAAATCACTGTTCACAAAAATGAAACTGTTTCAGATCAGAAGCCAGTTCTTTCAGTGGATTGGGAATTGGTTATGAGGTAGGAAATAGAATGAGGAATGATGAATGGATATGTACTCAAATTAGCTGGATATAACTAGACTTATCCAGCAGGGATCTGTACTTAGGACTCAGCTTTTGCACTATATTTATAGATGACTTGGATGAAGGAATAGAGAGCCACATATCCAAATTTGCAAAACCACTACATTAAGTGACACAATAAATAGCACAGATGGGATCAGAAAGTTATAAAAGGACATTTATGGATTAAGTGAGTGAGGATTAAATGAGTGGGTGCAATGGTGGCAGATGGAATTCAATATGAAGTAATGCTCTGTGTACACAAGAAGGTCAATCACAATATTTTCCAAATGGTGAGTAGCTAGGAACTGTGAAACATCAGACAGATTTAGGGATCCAAATACAGAAATCTCTGAAACCAAATGGACACTTGCAAGCTAGAATGAAAAAGGTAAATAGAACCTGGCCCTTTGTCTGAAAGGAGCTGGAATATAAGGGGATGGAAGTAAGGTTATAGCTATATAGAATTTCAGTGAGACCCCCATCTGGTCTCTTGCAATTAATTTCCACTTCAGGAAGGACATATTGGCCTTGGAGCCTTGCAGCTCCAATTCACCAGGATTAGAGGAGGGCTAAAAGGATTAAATTATGAAGAGGGGTTGCATGGACTAGACATATATTTTCTTGATTGAGAAGATTCTGAGATGATCTGGTTAAAGTGTATAAGATAATTACTGGAACTGATAAAGTAGATAGAAACCATTTGTAGGAGAGTCCAAAGTAAAGGGGACTAACCTTAAATGTTGGAGCTCAGCCTGTCAAAGACGATGTCAAGAAATACTTTTCACAAAGACTAGCAGGAATCTGAAACTCTCTCAATACAAAAAAGTTGCTGAAGATGGGTCAATTAAACATTTTAAAACACGAGATTCATTAAGTTTTGGGGCAAAGATGTTAACAGTTAGAAAAACCAAGGTGGATAATTGAAGTTAAGACACAAATCTAATCAAATAGCAGAATTGTTTTGAAGATCTGATTGCCTTAATCCCATTTTTATGTTCCCCCATATAAAAAAGTTCTTCTGGAACTTTTATATCTGACATTTGTTACCACAATCTGTGAAGGTATTATTACTCTTGCAACATTGGTTAAAGAGTTAGTGCCAGGTTTCAGAATCCAAGTGTGCATTGCATTTTTCCATTGGTGCCACAGTTATACTGTGTGTTAAGGGAATTTAGGCCTCCAACATTTAATATATCCCTAAATTTGAAGTATAACTGTACCCAATTTTAAGGAAGTTGGAGTTATTCTCACAGAAGATTGTGTTTAAGATTGTGTAAGATTATGATAATGTCTTCAGCTTTATTAATAGTGGCATAGAGTACAAGAGCAAGGAAGCCATGTTGAACTTCTATAAGACACTTGCTAGACCTCAGCTGGAATATTGTACGCAGTTCTGGGCACCACATTATATGAAAGATATGAATGCATTTGAGAGAGTGCAGAAACGATGTCCTTGGAGAAAAGGAGCCTGAGAGGAGATTTGATAGAGATTTTCAAAATCTTGAGCGGACTGGATGGACTCGAGAGGAAGAAGCTTTTGCTGCTCATAAAAGAGAAAAGGAGGAGAGGGCATAGATTTAAAGTGATGTACAAAAGCAGCAAGGATGATGTGACAAAAAAACTTTTTCACTCAGTGAGTAGTTAGGAAAAAGAATGCTTTGTCTGGAAATTCAGTGGCAGCAGGATCAATTAAGGCAGTAAAGAAGGCAGTGGATGATTATTTGGATTGAATGTAGTATACAAAGGTATGGGGAGAAACCAGGAGATTACCTGGTGATGAGTTTGTTTGAAAAGCTGATGCTGGCATGATGGGCTGAATGGCTTCCTTCTGCACTGCAACAACTCTGTGATAGGGATCAATAAAGTCAATCCAGATAAATTGTTCAGGAAGTAGGATATCATTTCAAAGTTGAAAATGGGTAATTTTGAAGACCTTTTTTCATAAAAGCTTAGTAAAATATAGAACAATATTTGACCTTATTCATTGAAAAACTAGAGATGTGGTGAGAAGGCAGGAAATTAAACTGAGAATAAACAAAACAGGATTTATTGAAATGTGTTGAAATTATTTTAAAATTCTTTTTGGAAACTTTTTCCTGCATGCACTTCCTGTCTGCTTTTCCTTTATGACTTCTTGCGCCTGTATTTATTTTGGAATACTGCCTGTGTAAACTTGATCTGTTGGAATTGCATCCTTCTGCTCATGAAGGCTGATGACTTACCTACTTCAAGCATATCCAGCCTTTCCAGTACATCCTGCCTAACTATTTTCACCATATCCATTACCTCTACCAGCTCTGCCTCTGTCAATATTTTATAAGCAAGTATGTCCTCAGTAAAAACCAATACATAGTACTTACTAAGTATTCAAAGCCTTGCACCTCTATATGTGTATCAATCTCTTTATTTCCAGTGGGGCCCATTCCACCTCTTATTTTCATGCTGGTAGAAGGAGTTTGGATTCCTTTAAATATTACATTGTTATTGTGTTTTCATATTCTGTCTTTGCCAGTCCTCACCAGAGACTGCAGAGAATTTACCAGACATGTATTATATCCTGTCTTTTCTTGTTTCATTCATGTTTTGTAATTCCACTGCATCCAAAGAGGCCTGGTTTTGTTCAAACTGCTTTTTTTTGTTTATTGAAATGTATCTAGTTGGTACCGGAAGCATCTTTTCCTCAAATATGAACCGTTGCTCTGACAAGGAGTTCCTCTTCCAGCTCATTCCCCAGCACAAGATCCAGCAATGGCTTTTTCCCAGTTGGATTGAGAAAACACTGATCATGGAAGTTCTCCTGAACACGTTTCGGAAATTTGTCACTCTCCTTTACCTTCACAAAAAAATTATCCTAATCATTAATTGAACCTTTACTGTCTCCTCACTCTATAATTCTGTATGTGTTTGTCATTTCCTGCGGGTTTGCCCCTCCACCTCTGTTTTACTACCTGGAAGCCTGTGAGATACCCCGGTGTTGTTGTTTGTGTGTTGATCAACAATATTTGAGCTTAGTTGAAAACTGCATTATTTCTCTATTGTCTTTGTAAGCCAGGTGGTGTTATGTTAGATAAAGTGTGCTGTATGCAGCCAGTTATACTACAAAGTACAGCAGATGAGTTGATAGTTTGAATGTATTGTTTATTCCGCAACAGAAGAAAATATAATTTTCTCTTCTGTTCAATAAACAGGTCTTGTCCCTTTATAGAAATAAATATAACAATCAATAAACAACAATAACATGTGATAGCTCAGTAAAAAATCTGTTGGGATAATTGAAGTGTTTTCCAACAGTCTTAATCTTTGCCTCTGTAGTTCCCAGAGGTTGTTCCACTGAATGTAGGAGGCATGTATTTTACGACAAGACTATCCACCTTGAGGCGTTATGAAGACACTATGCTAGCAGCAATGTTCAGTGGCCGCCATCGTATTCCTACAGATTCAGAGGGACGTTTCTTTATTGACAGAGACGGGACCTACTTTGGGTAGGTAATGATATCATGATTGCTTTCTACCTCATTAAAGAACAACCCTTTCTTACCATAATACTGTTTGATGTATTCAGTTTAAATACAACAAATTCAAATAACCATAAGTTGAATTGAACATTGTACAAAACGTTTTAGCAATGTGCTGTAAATTAAGGTGCATCTAAGAAGATTTGTTAATAATAATAGACATGAGGATAATAACTGGTTGGTATAATAAGGTGTGGAGCTGAATGAACACAACAGGCCAAGCAGCATCAGAGGAGCAGGAAGGCTGACGTTTCGGGCCTAGACCCTTGGTCCCCCTTGGTCCAGAAACTCCCCACCTACGTCCGTGACACCACCTCCACCTCCTCCAAAACTTCCAATTCCCTGGTCCCCAACACCTCATCTTTACCATGGACATCCAGTCCCTATACACCTGCATTCTCCATGCAGATGGTGTAAAGGCCCTCCGCTTCTTCCTGTCCTGCAGGCCCGACCAGTCCCCCTCCACTGACACCCTCATCCGCTTAGCCAAACTCGTCCTCACCCTCAACAACTTCTCTTTCAATTCCTCCCACTTCCTACAGACAAAGGGGGTGGCCATGGGTCCCGCATGGGCCCAAGCTATGCCTGCCTCTTTGTTGGTTACATGGAACAATCCCTCTTCTGTAGCTACACTGGCCCTAAACCCCACCTCTTCCTCCGCTACATTGGTGACTGTATCGGTGCCGCCTCGTGCTCCCACGAGGAGCTGGAACAGTTCATCCACTTCACCAAAACCTTCCACCCCAACCTTAAGTTCACCTGGACCATCTCTGATACCTCTCCCTCCTTCCTGGACCTCTCTGTTTTCATTTCTGACAACCACCTGGAAACCAATATCCATTTCAAGCCCACCGACTCCCACAGCTACCTAGAATACACCTCCTCCCACCCACCTTCCTGCAAAAATGCCATCTCCTATTCCCAATTCCTTCGCCTCCGCCGCATTGCTCCCAGGATGAGGCATTCCGCTCCCGTACATCTCAGATGTCCTCGTTTTTCAAGGACCGCAACTTCCCCCCCCTCAGTGGTCGAGAATGCCCTCGACCATGTCTCCCGCATTTCCCGCAACTCATCCTTCACACCCCCTCCCCGCAATAACAACCAAAACAGAATCCCCCTTGTCCTCACGTACCACCCCACCAACCTCCGGATCCAACGCATCATCCTCCGACACTTCCACCATCTGCAATCCAACCCCACCACCAAAGACATTTTTCCCTCCCCACCCTTATCTGCTTTCCGGAGGGACCACGCTCTCCGTGACTCCCTTGTCCGCTCCACACTCCCCTCCAGCCCCACCACACCTGGCACTTTTCCCTGCAACTGCAGGAAGTGCTACACCTGCCCCTACACCTCCCCCCTCACCCCCATCCCAGGCCCCAAGAAGACTTTCCACATCAAGCAGATGTTCACCTGCACATCTGCTTATGTGGTATACTGTAACCGCTGTTCCCGTTGTGGCCTCCTCTACATCGGGGAAACCAAGCGGAGGCTTGGGGACTGCTTTGCAGAACACCTACGCTCGGTTCGCAATAAACAACTGCACCTCCCAGTCGTGAACCATTTCAACTCCCCCTCCTATTCCTCAGATGACATGTCCATCCTGGTCCTCCTGCAGTGCCACAACAATGCCACCTGAAGGTTGCAGGAACAGCACCTCATATTCCACTTGGGAACCCTGCAGCCCAATGGTATCAATGTGGACTTCACAAGCTTCAAAATCCCCCCTCCCCCAACCGCATCCCAAAACCAGCCCAGCTTGTCCCTGCCTCCCTAACCTGTCCTTCCTCCCACCTATCCCCTTCTCCCACCTCTCCTACCTACTAACCTCATCCCGCCCCCTTGACCTGTCCATCCTCCTGGACTGACCTATCTCCTCCCTAACTCCCCATCTACTCTCACCTTTACTGGCTCCATCCCCACCTCTTTGACCTGTCTGTCTCCTCTCCACCTATCTTCTCCTCTATCCATCTTCTATCCGCCTCCCCCTTTCAGAACCCCCTTCCCCTCCCCCATTTCTGAATCCTCTGATGCTGCTTGGCCTGCTGTGTTCATCCAGCTCTACACCTTGTTATCTCAGATTCTCCAGCATCTGCAGCTCCTACTATAACTGGTTGGTAATTCCTTTGACAGTTCTTTTGGTAATTGCACTGAATGATGTGTTGTTGAGTCATCCAAATGCTAAAGGTGCCATCACTTTCTGTGGTGGTTATTGAACCAGCCAATCCTAACTGGGGTGCCAGCAAAGGTACTATAGTTAACTTCAGTAAGTCGAGGATAAGAGGGAAAAGTAAATCAGGCAGAGTTCTTTCTCTTCAACAGATCCACTGAGACTTGTTAGAAAATGCTTGCAAATGGATGCTTAGTAAGAGTAGAGCAGTCATTATTATAATGCCAATGCAGTCAGTTAGTATGCTGAAAGTACAGGAATTGTGCTTCTGTTGTGCAGTGTCTTAGTCAGATCCCATTAGAGAATTGCATTTAATTTTGTGCACTGCATTTCGGGATTGCTGTATTGATCTTGGAAGGTTATAGATGAAAAACACAGAATTACACCAAGGCTTACAGAATTACAGAATAAATTGAGACCATTTTACATAAAATTGGCTTGAATTCATTGACATTGAGATGAGATCTAATTAAAATATTTAAAATAATTAATCCATACTATAGTGAAACTATTTCCCTGGTTGGTGAAATCAAAACAAAGGCATATACCCTTAAAATTAGAGCTAGGAAATAAAATTGGAAAGCATATTTTCCCCACAAAAACAGTAATCTGGAACTGCTTCTTCGAAAATTCTGTGGATTCTGGGTCAATTGAAATTTTCAAGGAGTTGATGTGCGCAGCAGCAATCTAATTGAATGGCAGAACTGATTTGAGATGTTGAATGGCCCACTCCTGTTCATATGACAAACATGCTAATAGTATTTTGAAGAAGTGGCCATTTGAATGAGACAGATGAAAGATGCTGGAGTCCATGGAAATATTTATATTTAGAAATATTTTTTCATTTATAGACATTTTGTTTTTTGAACTATATTTAACACCAATGTGATATTTGTTTTGTGAGAACATGTAAATTAATTAACATCTGCCAATACTTTACACTAGTATAGATATTAACACATCCTGAGTTAATACATTACCTTTGTTCTGTATTCAGAGACATTCTAAATTTTTTACGGAATGATGATCTTCCACCTCGTGAGAGAGTGAGAACAGTTTACAAAGAAGCGCAATATTATTCTATTGGGCCACTTCTTGAGTGTCTGGATGAACTACAGCCTCTGGCTAGTGAAAAAGTCAGAAAAGCATTTTTGGACTTGCTGCCTTATTACAAAGGTAATGCTGTCTCTGCAGATATTTTTCTTTAAAAGACTGATCTAGGCTGCAGATAAGGGTTGATCTTGATGAAAGTTAGAATAGGCCCGAGTGGATAAATGATGAATTGCTGTTTCTTTTGTTTTTAAATATACAAATGTGAAGACAATGTTTCTGCAGTCAACTGAAGGATATGAGTTGATGTATGTGTATTTGAGGTGATGTCTTCCTTATTTATATTTATTACTTCCTTTGGCTGCTCTCAGTATTTGGAGGATCCTGAATGGAAAGTTGGATCTACTTATTTACGCTACAATGTATTAGCTTATTGCTGCAGGATAATGCTCCTCTATTTTAGCTTAAATCCTTTTTAATTTATACCGTTCAGATCAAAAAGACTGTTTAATTAAGAGTACAATGCAGTCACTTATATAAAATTATGCAGATATATGTATTTCATTGAATTCTTCATTTATGTAAAATGGGATTCGTCAAGGCCAGTTTAAGCATTAAGAAGAAGGTTATTGTAAAATGAAATTCAATGTCAATTACTTTCCTTCTTAACATCTCTGCTCTAACTGCTATTTTGAGAAAGATAATACAGTGTCGCTGCTACTTTTAGACCAGCATTTAATCTTCTCACCACATTTACTAATTGGCTTTTGTTGATTGTTGGTCTCTGAAATTCCCTGATTGAATGTATCTTCTGAGCATGCTCTGTCATCTGCTGTTTTCTAAGCTTTATTTTACCCCTTGCAGGGCATGTGACTGTTTGCTGTGCACTTTCACATCATTTTTTGAGTAATTGAGGTATTTTAAAATTTAGTACTTTACCTGGGTAATGATCTCACTGCTACTCCTGCCAACACCTACTATGTCCATTCCACCTCACTGCTGCAACGTTTTCTACCTTGTTCACCATTTCCAACAGCTTCACTGCTGTTGCTGTCTCTGAGTTCACATCTCACTAATGACACTTTACCGGGCACTATTCTCAAGCTTCTATTCTTCCTGGTTCTCAATCTGAATGCTATCACACTTCACTTAATGTGGTCTGAACTTTACCAAAAATTGGCTAAGTGTCAATTCTGGGGAGTTTCGTGGAGGGTTTCTCACCATGAACTCAAACAAGTTATCTCATGTAATTCTCCACAGTTCGTCATGTGCAGCACTCCACCACACACTGCCCAGCTCACACTAATGTGCCACACCCACAGACCACTGGTGCTGGTGCCAAATTTAAACTACAGTGTGCATCAGGTCAAGTGTTGTCATTCAGGAGCTGCCCTACACATTCCTGTATGTGAAGAATTGCCCTAGAGATGGCTGATAGAGGCAGGTTGACACCCTGCTATGCCAACAGTGAACTGAACATCCTGGTGGACAGTGGTGAGGAGGACGATCATCCTCTCTCTTCAGGACTGCCAGAGGAGGCCATGGTACCACACTCGGCCAGCCTAGTTGCCACCTGGGTCAGTACATGGTCCACAGTCTGCATAGAACATCAGCAAATAGAAAGGAGGTGAATGACTTTTTGTGCTCCATGAGGGTAAGTGGCACTCCCTTCTCACTGCTACCGTTAACTCTGCTAACTGCACCCACCTCCCACTGAGGCCGATGCTCTACCACTTTCAATATTGAGAGCAGCGTCTTCCCTCACACACTCTTGTCCCTTTATTCTGACACGTTTTGCCGAACCTGCATAACCCTCTGTGCTGCCTACTCATTCACTCAGGACACTTCCCTACCTTTCCCCCACTTGCACCAGCACTAACAACTGAGCCAGCCACTTTCATCTCACTCAATCCCTCCATTTCTCTAATTTCAGGAGAAAACTGCCCACAATAAAGCCAAGGTGGATGGTGGGTGGACCATGACCACTCCTGTGGGGATGCTGAGACTTCCATATACCGGCAACAAAATAACATTCATTGCCAAGTTCTGTGCTCCTCCCACATTATCAGCAACATGATAATTTCAGCATGCCCAAACCCCTAACCCTATTTCACAACTTTTCCAGCAATGGCTAGACTATTAATCTAGACACTCAGATAATGTTCTGGGGATCTGAGTTTGAATCCTGCCATGGCAGATGGTGGAATTTGAATTCAATAATAATCCAGAGTTAAGGATCAAATGATGACCATGAAACTATTGCCGATTGTCAGGAAAACCCCATCTGGTTCACTAATGTCCTTTAGGGAAGGAAATCTGCCATCCTATCTGGTCTGACCTACATGTGACTCCAGACCCACAGCAATGTGGTTGACTCTTAACTGCCCTCTGGGCAATTAGGAATGGGCAATAAATGCTGGTCCAGTCAGTGATGCCCACATCCTATGAATGAATATAAAACAAAACCTCTCATCTCTTGTGACATCAGTGCTGTCCATTCCCTGAAGACAACAGCCCCTCCAGACCTCATAGCCTCTACCTCTGAGGAAGAACCACAGATTCCCACACAGAATCCACTTTCAAGCCTGCCTCATCAGCTCATGTATTGACACCTCACTGGGTGCATTATAAGGGCAGAGCTGGGAGCACATTCTAGTGAGCACACCACTGCCTCAACTCTGCAGCTGGTTCGAGGAACAAAAGCCACAGGTTACTGGCACTTAGAGGACTGTCAAAAGACCAGGCACCTTCCCAGCCTGAGACAGGAGAGGACTCTGTAGTGTTGACCATTCATGACTTCGTCCAAATGCCCAAGTTGACACAGGAGCATCAGGCAGTTTGTCAGAGGCAGTGGGCAAACTGAATTCAAAGTTGGTGGAATTCACCAATGTTATCTGTACCAGGTTGCCTCTGGCATGTGAATGTCTGGCTGCATCCATGGACGGGTTGGCAGCTACAATGGAGAGCTAGGTCCAGCAGTCTTAGTGCCTGCTGGATATGAGTACAGAGCGGTACTCCAACACTTTAGCCTTTGGTGCTTAGGACTAACAACAGGGCAATAGGGTCATGAAGGATTTTGACTCTCTCCAGGTGCCCCTTCCTTACAAAGAGATAGGATGGGACCAGTAGGCACCCAGCCAGAGGAGGAACCACATACACACCCTCAAGAAATTTCTCAGGACACTCTAGAGATACCTGGGGCCACCACTTCCATCTACCACTGTCAACCACCACCTCCACCCAGGCACTCAATCCTGTGCGAGTTAAGGCCAGGGAGGGCAAACCTGCATCTGGACAGGGCACACCAGTTATCTGGGCCATTTAACCAGGATCCCCTTGGACTGCTGGCCACAACTCCATGGCCAACAGGCCTCACTAGAGGGCAGCAGGCTTGTTCCACCCCAGATGCGGATACCAGGACTGCTCCTGGGCATAATGAGAAGGAAAACAGAAGAAAACCTTTGAGGATTATATAGATGGCACAGGTGACATTATGTCTGAAATAAATTCTTACATGTTTAAATATAGTTTCAATTTTCATCACCAGTGGTGTAAACAACCAGCATTTTAGCTGCAACTACAAGAGTGACAGTAGAAAAGCGAGTCAGCTTTAGCGCCACATGATGTTTAACCCTGTCTGAGCAATAGCTATCCTCTCCATAGTGCCAGTATGAGAATGATTGAATGAAGAGACATCGGATGTTGTGAAGGCTTCCACCCATTTGTCACCTTAACTTTTATTAAACAGATTGAACTGCTTAGGAAGATCAAAACAATAAGCTGCACTTGCAGTTGGGATTATACAAGGAATGTTGACCTCAGGATCTTTAAAACAGTTAGAGTCAGTGAAAGATGATTTCACACAATTAATTCCACCGAATGAGACTCACAAAGAAGTCCTGCTCGCATTGCTTTGGCCAATATTTCTATCCTGCAGGATGCTGTAGGTGCTGTTCTGTCTGAAGAACATCCTCAGTCTGCAGTTTTCACAGATCCTTATCATTCTTTCCAATGCCATGGTGTAGTTGTCTGGAGCAGAGATTCCAAGGATTAAGTGGCATCGTCTTTCTGGATGGTATGAATACAAAGTCCCAGACGTGAGATGCATGGAAGCCTGATGCCTAGGGACCATCCCACGTCCTTTGTTTGCCCCAGAGGAAGAATGTATTGCATTGTGAATTCAGTAAACAGCATGATGATCTCCATCTCTGGACAGATTATAGTGTCACTGCCCTTCTCCCATCTGCACAGCATTCCGTGGAAGGCTGAGATGCAGTGAGCATCTATGTAGGCGCAAAGTGAGTGAGAGCTAGGAGTCCTGAGATGCACCCTGGTCCAATCCATGAGGTGGGTACTTGTCCTTCCAGGCAAAGTGGTCTGGCAGCTGTATTATAAGTAAAGGTGCTAGAATGCTCCAAAATATAGTATTGAATGAGACAATTTATTCTGTATGAATTGGAGATGTGCCATGTAGATATAGGGCATGTCTGATGCCTACCTCCATGGATGGAAGTTTAGGCAGTTACTGGCCATACAGTACAACCTGAGATGCTACCCAAGGTAGAAGCCTAGAGAAGGAAGCGACGAGGTACTGCTCTGACATTCATGTCAGGCGTTGTGTCCATCCAGTTTCTCTCCAGCTTGTGGGAAACTGCATATAAGTGAGGCAATGACAAATATATGCATGTAATTAAGCTTCTCGCTGCTCACAAGTGAGACCATAATTTCACCATTCAAAACTTAGTCATAGAATTGGATTTTGTTTCTCAGTGTCAAGAATTGCGTTCTTCTGAACTCATCATATTTCCCCAGTCAACTGGCCATTGCCCACATCATTCAGGGGTTGGGAAAATTCAGCCCTCTGGTGCTCTCCATCGTGCTGGCTTCATAAATTACCCAAAAGGAAGAGGAATACTCATTGTATTTTGCGTACAAGACTAACATCCAGTAAATTCTGTTACAAATCATTCCCCTTAAATATGGTTCATTTTAGAGTTTTGAACTAAAATCGACATTCTTTCCCTAATACAAAAATCTTAGTGCAATAACAGACCTAGTAGAAATATATAAAAACTATCTATTTCTACTTCAATTATGAATACATAGATGTAAAATTGCAAGATTAGGAACAAAAAAGTTGATGAATGATGCTGCAAAATAAACCCTGGTGGTGATGAAACTGCTTTTGCTTTGGAAAATTAGCCTATTAATCTGAGAGTTCCCAAGAGACTTGGGGAAAGGATTCCACAAGAATCTTTGTCAGAGAGAAAGGCCCCATCACAGAGGGAGTCAGTGAGAATGTAGGTTATTCCAAAATGCAGATTTTACCCTTGCCTTCCTGAAAGGGATTTCGGATTACATCCCGGTGTACCTTACGGTCTTTATTTTAGGAAATTGAGGCTGCCTGCTAAAAGTAAAAAGAGTCTCATAAATAATTATATATCATGGTCCCATGATATAAAATGTGCAAGTTGCTTACAGTCCATGAACCACCAGAAAGAGAGCTGCTCAGAAGAGGCCTAGGCAATATGTTAGGTAACTCTTAGAAATGTTTAAACATTTCTTTGTGGTTAGGAGGGGCAGGGAGCAGTAAAAGGGGAAAAGAAGTTTGAGTTTAAAATTTCCAACATGGGAAATAAACAGTATTCAGAATTTTAAATTACACAAGTATTTCTGAAAAAAATTGCTTTGTAACAGGAAAGCAAGCTGATTACATCTCCCAAACAGTTGATATGTTGCTCATCATGTGAGTAATGCATGTAAAGGTTATGAGTGGAGTGAAAGGTTACACCAATTTGGGAATGATTGCCATTTCTTGACAAAAGAAAATGAGAAATGTAATTTATTTCTCTACCTGTCTCTGAGAATTGATGATAAACCTTTCTTAACTCTTTCAAAAAACAGATAACTAAAGTTGTGTTGTATAATTTTAGTATTTTTCACTTCTGTTTCCTTTCATTAACAGAGAATCTGGAAAGGATAATTGATATTGCAAAACAAAGAGCAATTCAACGAAAGGCAAGATTTGCAAAGTTGAAGATTTGTGTTTACAAAGAGGAGATGCCAGTCACACCATATGAACATCCTCTGTACAACTCACTACGTTTTGATAGAAGTGAGAATGAGACAAAACTCTTTGAACATCACTGTGAAGTTGATGTGTCATTTGGCCCTTGGGAAGCGATTGCTGATGTATATGACCTTCTTCACTGTATCGTGACAGACTTAGCAGACAGAGGAATTACAGTAGATCACCAATGTATAGGTGTGTGTGATAAACATCTTATAAACTGTTACTACTGCAAACGCCCAATTTATGAATTCAAGATTACCTGGTGGTGAATAACATTTTTAATAATTTTTAGCTTCATATTTATTTGAAATCACATTATGATAGGAATAGTTTTGCAATTTAGTTTATTAGTAGCCTTGAGGCACAGTGGTACTGTCCCTACCTCTGGGCCAGAGGGTCTGGGTTCAAGTCTGACCTCGGAATGTGTGTGTGGCCTTGGGGGTATGTCATAACATGTCCAAACAGTCTGATTAAAATAAATTATTACTGATACCAAGAAAACTTAGATATTTTTACCACCTGAGTGCCCACAGTGTCTTGTAGCAAGGCAAGATTAGTTAGTTGCATTTTAACTTGGAGTTTTAGCGTAACCTTTCTCATGCTGGCAGGTCTGATTGATTAATGCAACATCGAACTTGTTGTCGTGAATAAGACTGTAGTCATACCCAAGATGCAGCAGCATTTAACAGTCACTTTCGGGCCATTTAGTGCATTTTTGTTTATCTCTATCAGAAAAGTCAAATCTTTTGCTCGTATTTCTCCAGGAAATTAATGTATTGTTGTGTACAATAAAAGTAATAGCAGGCGTTTACATGTTTATTTCTTGCACCAAAAACTCTCCATGATTAAACCATCACAAATTAGATGCTGGGATAGTTTGAGTCAATATATTTTCATCTTTGACCTTGATCAAGTTAAGTGACTAGAAAGCACAGTAAATGTCTGAGGTTTTCATGCTTACTCGGAATTTGAATAGCTTCTGGAAGTTGTACACTTTTAGGATGTGAATACTTTGAGTTTAGGCATATAGTTTCCTTTGGTTTCTAATTTTTGGAATGGTAGACAGTAGTGTTTCCTGCACTATGCCATTTGCTAATTTCAACAAATGAATAAAAACATTTTGATTCAGCTAGGTCCTCCCAGCTTATTGCTATATTCATTGGTTGCAGTGCTATGACACACAAAGCCAACAGGCCAAACCAAATCAGCCTTCATATCCCTTGATTTGCAACACAGTAAAATTAAAACATCAATGACCCTCAAAATCACTCAATTGTTCCCAACCAGACCTTATAAATAGCATATATCAGACAACAAATGTATAATTAAACAAAAATCTTATTGGTTTATTGTTATCAATACAACTTTAGCAGAATGCAGATAAACAACAAGGTGATCTACTTAATATCCACAATCTAAACTCAACTTTCTTTAAACACCAAGCCCAGTCACACACAACTGGATGGACAGGCACAGTTAAGGGATAAATTAAAGAAAAATAAAGAATTGTAGTTTGCTAGTTAATGGTTTTAAGATGTGTAATAGGCCTTCAGAAATCCTTGAACGATGCATTGTATTCCCGGCACACAGGATTGTACGTTGCTTGAATTCTTAAGTCACTGATTCATACAAACACCTTCTACAGACTGCTGGAGAATTTTATTTATGTCCCACAGGTTGGAAGTTCTTTCCTCAAAACCTTCCATAAATCTTTAATTGGGTATAAAACGAGAGAAAGTAAGATTCAAAACAGCTTCCCATCCAACAGCTTCCATGTACACAGCCTTCTGGCCAAAACCCCTAACAAACAAGTTCAAACAATAGTTTCAGAGATAGTAGGAACTGCAGATGCTGGAGAATCTGAGATAACAAGATGTAGAGCTGGATGAACACAGCAGATCAAGCAGCATCAGAGGAACAGGAAAGCTGATGTTTCGGGCCTAGACCCTTCTTCAGAAAATGTCAGCTTTCCTGCTCCTCTGATGCTGCTTGACCTGCTGTGTTCATCCAGCTCTACACCTTGTTATCAAACAATAGTTTCTCTTTCGTTTTCAACATTCTCTCTGATTGGCTGGCCAGCAGCATTCGATCCTTGGCTGACCCATTCAACATTTAACCATCCGACCGTCCTTGACCAACACACCGGTGTTGAAAAGTCTGTCATGGTCCTGGAAAATTATTACCCACAATTACTTTGAGGCCAGTTCCCACAAACGAAAATCAGTTTGTTTGCTTTCTCTTTTCCAAAAGCAACTGCTCAAAGTTCAAAGTTTGATTCTCAACTTCAGCTCACAGTTTTAATCCAAAAATGAGAAAAATAATAATAAAATGAAGGTCTCAACAGCAGTCACTTAAAGATACTTAAATTCTGAGTGTCAATTTTGCTGAAAAATATTTATTCATAGAAAAGATGAATTTACACTAAACACTCTTCAGTTGTTTGATTCTGTGATTTTATAATACATAAGTAATTTTCTTTTTGCAAATTTTGCGTCAATTTTCGCCTTTAAAGTTTCCTTTATTCCTTAAGTAGCTGCATAATATGGGTGTCTAGAAGTGTGTATATATACATACAGTTTCTTCTTTAATTCTGTAACCAATAAGCAAAATTACCAGTCTCAATTTGTATTATGTTCTCATATAAACGAATAACAGCATTTGATACAGTATAATTTCTGGCTCTGAAGTTCCAGGGAAATTCTGATATTAGCAGAATCACTGGAGGTATTTGGTATTCAACCAGTATTCAGTATTCAACATCGTTTCCATGGAGGTTCTGCAAAACCTCTGCCAATGTAATGCAGAAGTCTGTTAGAATCCTCACAGATATCCAAAACCCTTGCATTTTTAAAGAGAGTTAGTAATAATTTTATTTTTATTTATTATAAAAGAGCTAAATGTAGCAAACATATCTTAATAGGTATTTAATGCATTGTTAAAATGCTTTGAAATTATTTGGAAGTGCACTATAACAAAAAAACTTAGAAAATCTTCAAATATTGATAAAAGCTGTATTTTCATCCTCCATTTGCAAGTGTGACCTACAATGTAGGTAATGTCAACTGGCTTTTTTGAAATTGGTTTTATTCCTCAGTACATAACTTTATGTTTGGGAGAGTGGCTGTTGATCTCACAAGCTGTTACTGGTGGTGTTGTTTTGTGAGTACTGTGCATTGACAGGTTTGTACTGTTCTATCTCTCACCTCCATGGGCATGGTTCTTGAAGTTTTGCATATGAAACCAAGACTTTCCACTGAGAAATTGCTCATGTCTCAAAATGTTCTTGTATAATGCATTATGTGCATAAAGTTACTGTACCATACCAATGATAGATGGCAATTCATTCTTAGTTGCATGGAACTGTAACATAAATGGCAATCTTGAATACAGTGGAGTAATCTTTTAACACAACTAATTTGGCATAAATTCTGATGAGTTGTCACAGAATCTAAAGCAGAAAGTCCATTTCCGATGAGAGATCCAGCCTATTTTTTTTTCATACCTTCAACTTTACACTTGTATTGGGTAGTGAGCTCAAACTAGGATATAGCCAAACATATAAACTGTATGCAATGTAAAAGCAATATACATGACAGTTAACTGCCATAAAATTAAAGCTGACTTTTGTCGACACTGCTGGATATTAATGTGATTGAATATCCAATACAGCAGTTAGTCCTTTTGCTTTTTTGATTACCCATTTTTGTGGGAGTCCTTAAGATGAGTGGCCCAAGTAGCCAGCAGAAGCAGTCAAATCCGGGCACCATGTGGAATGGACTTCAATGCCATCAGTAAGATCCTGATGTCATTTTGAAATAATCACTGGATGGAGCATATACGGAACAGTTTTAAAGAACCAATCCAAAAGCCACAAAGGTAGGGACTATTCACGTTTTCCTTCACCAAACTTGCCTCGATCTTCAGCTTTCTGGAGCTCCGTCTAACGACCACTTCCCCTCTTCGCAATTTCACTTACCATAAAATTTCAGCTGAGCTGAGCATTGCCAAGCTTCCACCCCTATTGGGCTATCAATCAGCATACAGGTACCTTTGGCAAAAGCAGCTCAACAGTGTTATCTGAATGAGGCCCAACTATGAAACTGGATCAGACTTTCCACAACTTTCATTTTCACGTGACAATGTCACTCTGAAAATCTACCCAATTTGTAATCTAAAATGCCAACAGGCAATTGATTCTAGTTAAAGTATAATATACCCATCTGTTCACCAATTTCTAATGCATACAAATTAAAAACTGGATTGTAATCTACCAATCACAACCAAGTCTCCGCTTACCTCATTTTGTTGGGCACAGCTTGTTCATTTCATTATGTGGCAGCTTTAAATTTGTTTGTACAGTATCTTCACAGGCAGCCTGCTGGTGTTTTCAAGGCTGCTGTGAGGCACATGTAGCTTACAAAAGATATAAATTATGGCATGTAACATGCCTCCACTAGTTTTCCTTTAGATCATTTCAGACAATGTAGTCCAAATTTAATTGATAGCCACTCAATCACAATAGATCCACAATACATTGCTGAGTGAAGAGCAATTAGGATGAAGTCAAGACATAGGTTTGCTAACTAACTATTGAATAATATCAATGACAGTGTAACAAGAAGATTACGTATAATCATTTGATACTTTCCTATCAATTGATAAACTAAATTGGTTATGATTTAGATGTTAAGAGATTCATTACATCTCTGTTTTGCCTGAGGTTGTTTAGCACCAGTAACAGTTTTGTTCAAGGTTACAACAGGACATGTCAAGGTAAACTTTATGGTTTATACATAATGCATAACTATTATATTTCAAGTATTTGTGAATACTTGAATCTTTGATGTGAACAGAAATGGTACATCTTCCTTTAAGGAGATTGACTGTTATGGAATTGAATGGTTCTGCTTTCCTCAAGGAAATTTAGCTTCACCTTGGATCAGCTGTAAGTTGCTATCCAAGATATTGTCTCCTTGCTCCAGTCATCTTCACATCCTAGTTTAGTTTTACTTAATTTTACACAAATGTATTTGTATTGTTATGTTGTTTTATTCTCAGATTCAGAGACAAACTATTAAATAACAGTGGTGATTCACTTCAAAATTTTGTTTCTGTTTGATTCAATACTTTTCTTGTTAAAATTTTATCTGTTCTTGAAAACCTGCTTCAAGAGCTCTTTGCCAATCGCTTTAACCTTGTATCCTTGGTGAAAATGATCTTGAATTTTCTGCACCCTTCTAATTTGACTTTTATAGGATAGTAACAAGATGACGTGCTCAGTCACATTAGCCCTTTCAAAGGTGCTATTCAGCTGGAAGTAAATATTATCAGATATCATCGCTACCAGATTTTAACTAGTTTGAAGAATAGGATTCAATTTATGTGCTGCATCCTTTTCTTTCCCAAGCCCATAAATAAAATAGGGAAATGTTCCTTCTCATATGAGGATATCAGCATTCTTCACTGCATATGACTCTAGTTAATTAATTTATATGTTGTAATGCTTTGCTAAAACTTGAGTTGACACTGGAATCCAGACTTAATTCAGGACATCTGACAATACTAAGATGAAATCTCCTGTTTGTACCTCAGTTTACCAAAAATTCCTGACAAATTATCCCAGGATTCCTGTAATACAGTTTAGAATTTTCAGTTATTCTGTGTACATAATACACAAAAGAGACTGCAGTCCAAATACGTCAATCTCTTTAGAAAACAATAGGGGTAATGTCTTACGTATTCTGAAATGGATTTTTTTTTCAGAAGCTATCAGTAAAAACACAAATCAGCAGGACCACTTGACACACACAGTTCAACCACCCTGAATAGTCCATCTATTTCGGCATTCAAATGTTTTTTTAACTGTCATGGGTTTGACATTCACCGTTCTATTGTGAAGTGCATTTCATTTCTCTCTGGATAAGACAAGTGAAGGTACCACATAAAAGATTACTAATACAAGATGCTTGGCGTTGGGATAATATGTGGATAGAGCATTGACCAACAGAAAACACAGAATCAAGATAAATGCAGTCATTTTCAGGTTGGCAAACTGTAACAAGTGGAGTGCCACACAGATCAGTGCTGGGGATCAATTATTTACAACCTATATTGATGACATGAATAAAGAGATAGAATATATGGGAGCCAATTCGCTAACAACATGAAGCTACGTAGGAGCAAGTTGACAGGAGGACAAAAGTAGTTGCAAAGGGATACAGATTGGTTAATTAGGTGTGTAGAGAGTATCTTCTTCAATTGTCTGCTCCAACAGGTCCAACCTACAGTAGCAATAACCTCCACTAAGAACATATGTCCTGAATCCACCCTAGCGGAAATAGGGATTGAGTTCCATGCTGTTAGCACTAATCCATACCAGTTTATCAACTGAGCCCCTTCCAAGACTCTAAGTTGCAGTGGCAACATCCACCTTTATATGCATGTTGCACTTCCAGATATATTAATAGCGATGCTCCAATTTTCTTGGTATCACCTGCTGACCATGAACCTCTCCCACTCTTAGCACCCGTGATTGATGTATGTTGAGAGTATTTACAGGTTGATTCGCCACTAGTTCGGCCACATTACAAATGCACTTTTCTTGGGCATCAGGTGCTGGAGGGGGTACTTGAATTTAGAGCTTCTTCTCAGAAACAGGGATTCTATCATTGTGCACAAGGTGTCCTTCAGATGGAGCATAAAGTGGAGAAAATATAAGATTCTCCACTTAAAGAGAGATCATATTCATAAACCACAAAGGGTCGGCATGCAAGTACCGCTAAGTAACGAGGAAGGCAAATGGTATGTTAGTCACTTTTTTATTCATTTATTTATGGAAAGTGGATGCCACTGGCTGGGTTAGCATTTATTGCCCATCCCTATTGGCCGTCAAGAAGATGGTGGTGAACTGCCTTCTTGAACCGCTGCAGTCCATATGGTGTAGGTGGACCCACAATGCCATTGCATTGTAAGAGATCAAGTATAAAAGTAGGAAAGCCTTGCTATAATTATATGGGCCATTATTGAAACCACACCCTAAGATACTGCACACTTTTTGTCTCCTTATTTAAGAATGGATGTATTTGCATTTGGAGACAATTTAAAAAGATTCACTAGGTTGATTCCTGGGAAGAAGGGGTTGTCTTACAAGGAAAGGTTGAGAACGTTGAGCCTATACTCAAAACAGTTTCAAAGAATAACTGGAGTTCTTATTGGAAGGTCCTGAAGGGGCTTGACAGGGTGGATGCCAGGAGGATGATTTCCTTTGTTAGGGACTCGAGAACTAAGAGCACAATTTCAAATAAATGGTTTCCACTTAAAATGGAGATGAAAAGTAATTTCTTCTTTTGGTCATTAATCACGTCCTGCTAATATTTCTTATGTTTTTACATAAATTTCCAGACATCAGTCCTGAAGTTACCTTTTCCTACTTTGATTTGTCTTACACTCAAAATTTGAGATTTACCTTTTTCAGAATTGTAAAAGGAAAACTGTTTACACAAATGTACGAATTAGCTATGAGATTAGGTCATTCCTCCCCTTAAGCCTTTTCCACCATTTATTAAGACCATGACTGACCTGACTGTGAGAATTTGGGTGAACTGGTTATGCAGCTAGGTGGTGGCTTATGAGGGTAAAGTGTCAGAAATGGATGTGTGATATTGGAGGGACTAAATTGTGAAAACCATGTGGGTGTGAGGTCACAAGGGTTAAAAAAAGCCTTATTTGAGAAATGTGTCAATGTATTAGACATTATCTTCTAAAACATTTGATTCAGGAATCGTTGTCTTGAATTCAAAATCTGCCAATATGGAAGGATAAGATAGGTAAACTAAGAGCTGAGGGTTCTGTTAATTTAGTATTAATTATGGGGAATTTACTAGATTCTGTTATTAGGGTCTCTATGATTTAGGATTTGAACAATTATGAATTGATCAGAAAAAGCTAGACAAGTTCATTACATCGAACAAACCAATTTGAATTGTTTGAATAGGAAACTGACATGTTAGATATGGGAGTCTCTATGAATGCCATGTCTCAGATTCTTAAGGAGCTTAACAGGATAAATGCTGAAAGGACGTTTCCTCTCTTGGGAGAGTCCAGGACCAGAAGGCATGTCTCAGAATAAAGGGGCGCCAATTTAAGACCAAGATGAAGAGAAATTCCTTCTCTCAGAGGGTTGAGAGTCTTTGGAACTATTTGCCATAGAGAGCTGTGTGAGAAAAGTCCTTGTGTATATTTAAGTCTGAGATGGATTGATTGTTGATCAGTAGGGGAATCAAGGATATAGGGAAAGGGCAGGAAAGTTGTTGTGAGGAATGTCAGATCAGCCATGATTCTATTGTATGGTGGAGTAGGCTCAAGAGGCCAAATGGACTACTCCTATGCCTATTTCTTATGGTCTTATGATTATTTATATGGATTTTCAGAAGGCATTCAAAAAAGTTCCACAAAGGAGACTTTCACCAAAAGAAAAGCATCTGGCAACAAACAGCTTGGATAAAGAATTGGTTAGGAGTTAGGAGATCAAGAATAAGGATAACAGATATATAATTAAAATAGACCTGGTGTCTATCAGTGATCTATTCTGGGACTCAGTTTTTTACTGTGTCTATAATTAATTGAGATTAAGAAATAGAGAGAAATGCATATCTAAGTTTACTCACAGCATCGAAGTTATGTGGCACAGTAAACTGATTGGAATGAAAAGTTTGTCTGGGATATCGATAATCTGTGGACAAAACTGTGGCGGGGGAGTTCAATGTGGCAAACTGCATACTTTTTACCCTTGAAAGAAAGATCAAAACATTTTCTGAATGGCCAGAAACTGTGGATAAGCAGAGAGAATTTGGGGTTAAGTAAAGAAATTTTAAAAACTTAGTGAAAGTACAAAATCAAATCAATGATATGTTGGTGTTTAACTTGAGAGCTGGAATACAAAGGATGAATGTTATGCTTAAGTGTACAAAGCTCTTGTGTGCAGCAGTCAATTCCAGGCACTGCATTTCAAGAAAAATATATTGGCCTTTCTAATGGTGCACTGTAGTTTCACCCAAATACTACCAGGACTAAAGGAGCTAAATTCTAAGCAAAGGTTGCATAAACTTGAACACTCTACAGAATCATCTAATCAAAGTTTTAAGATGATTTCAGGATTTAATAGAGTAGATAGACAGTACATATTTTGTTGGAAACTTCACTGATATTTTTCATTATTTTTATTCTTATATTAATTTTGGTTTGGAGCTGTGAACTAGAAATTGAGAGTTGAGAATGACTCGTGGACTTTGGGATAGCTTGTGGTAAAAGGAAAAGAACAGACCAAATAAGCTTTTTTAAGATATCAGGCCTAGAGATTAAAATGTTTGATCAAAAGGGCTCTAACAGACACAGCAATCCCAGAAAGAGCACCATGTTTAAACAGATAGCAGAAGTTGTCTATTCATGAGGTCAGTACCTGGGAATTGGTTCCAGCAAGTCAGGAAGAGACACTATGTTCAAGCAGATGACAGATGTTGAGTGGTAATTGAAGCCTCAGGAAAAGACATTCAATCCACCAGGGCGGAACCAGAGTTAGAGTTGTGTTTTAACTGTATTATTTGGAGTAGATGAGGTTGGCTGCTGACAACACAGCTGAAGATTTGAAAGCTTCCTATCTGATCTCCCACACTCACCTTTGGAAGGCCAGATAGTAGAAATTTGAGTTGGAAGTATTATTACCTTTACCTGAGTTAACTGAGAAGGTTCCCAAAAAAGCAACCAAACAGTCAACATCTATGCCAGTGAAAAATGCATTGTGAAAACCATTTAAGTAATCTGGCTAGTTTTATTACTTTTTTTCATTTATTCCTTAATTGTATTTGTTTCTCTGTTTTTTGTGTGAATGGGGGCTGAAAACAAATGGTTCAGGTTTAAAGCATAGGCATTAATTAGACATTAACAGAAATCTATCAATATTTGTTTTGATCTTTTCAACTGACCTAGCCTCAGCAGCGTTTCATTGGGGCAGGTGGCAGAGGGAGGAAAGAAGGTCCCAGATTTCCACTATTATTTACATTAAAAATAAATTTTTGATGTCACCCCTGAATGGCGTAGCTTTAATTTTAATTTTTAATTTATGGACTCTGCCAAAGGAAATTGCTATGGAGGAAACAGACAGCCAAGCCAAACAGGCTTTCTACCTTTATATTTGCAACACAGTAAAATTAAACAGTCAGAGTGTTACAATTCAAGATGGTGGTTCCAGCACAGTAGGTAGCGTTCAGACTCCTGAGCCCGCCTGCTCCAGACAGGCTGCATCCTTCTCTTGTTCGCCTTTTTCATCTTTTTTTTTCTTTTCTTCATCTTCTGACTTCATGGGGAAGCTGGAGCAGGGTGTCAGCTGCAGCAGAGGTGGTGCCCGGAGCAAGGATTCATGGCTGCGGTAGGCATGGAGCATGGTCTTGGCAAGTAGTCAGCTGCAGCAGTTGACAGTGCCTGGAGTGGGGAGTCCCAGCTGTGGTAGACCTGGAGAATGGACTTGGCAGGGCATTGGCTGCGGCGGTGACCAGAGCAAGGACTCCTCGCTGTGGTAGGCCTGGAAGATGAACTTGGTAGAGACGGTGAAGGTGCCTGGACCGGGGTCTCCCATTGCAGTTGGCCTGAAGCATGGTCTCTTGGTAGGATCATCATTGCTGGACTCAGAGCAGGGGCTCCTTGATGTCCGGGACACCTTGCAGAAATCCTGGAGCTGTATTTGAAGACCCCCTGTACAAGGAATAAATTCTGCTTATGTAATTTCTTTTTATTCTTTTTGTAACTCAAAGTGGTGCTAGATTGTGGTGACAAAACGCTTTTCACTTTATCTTTCTAGATATATATGACAATAACTAATTGTCACTCAAATCAAGTATGGCCAACATATTGGATGCTCTGAAATGTAGGAATAGGCACCAGAAAAACGGTCAAAAGTCGTTTTGTTCAGTGTACCAATCCCACAGCTTTGCGTACTCAAACATCACAGGTAAACATCCGACACAGAGAATGACGGACCGGAAACAATACTGTTAACAGGTTGAGATATCCTACCAATTCAGAGCGGCCAAAACGTCGTGGGATCGAAGGGTGCTCTCCGAAATGAGAGGGCCAAATTCCCTAATCATGAGCGCCATTCGTTGGGAGCTTTGATGGGTGAGGAAAAAAATGCGTGTCCGCAGATGCTTTCGTTTAGATGAATGGACAGGTAATCCATCTTGATGTGAACCGGTGCAGTGGAGCTCGAAGTTATACAATATTCATTTAACTGCTGGCCACGCAATAGAAGCAGTCTGGTACAAATAAGTGACAACAAGGTGCAGGGCTGGATGAACACAGCAGGCCAAGCAGCATCAGAGGTGCAGAGAGGCTGACGTTTCGGGCCTAGACCCTTCATCAGAAAA